GGACAGCCTACAGCTGCGTCGTCATAAAATGGAGCCGAGGTATCGCCAGGTGTTTGAACCGACACCCTTGCTCGTGGGCTGTGGGCGGCCGAAGGTATTTTACAATCTCCTCTCCGGTCGCTGCCCCTCTCCAGGCGCTTCCTCGGGGTCTCTTTCCAAAGAGACAAGTCCGGCTTGTCCCCGGAGACCTGAGCTGGCTGATCTGCGGCTGAGATTTGGGGCGATTTTTCTCACTCAAGTCTCAGCTCCAAGGATGCTCACTGCGTGCGTGTGTGTGTGTGCGTGTGTGTGTGTGTGTGCATTGAATCTGTTCTTCAAAACTAGGGTTGAAGCAAATGTCCAGGGCAGAAATGGGGGGGAAATAACTATTCATTAGGGAGCACTCGCTAGGTTGCAAGTACCTGACGCATCTCGTGCTCCTGAATCCTTTGAGGTGAGCCCTGAAATTGTCTTGAGTTTAGATGTGAAAAAACAGAGGCTCAGAGTGTTTTTACAAGTGGTAATGAAGTTAAGATGAGGTCATGAGGGTGGCCCTAATCCAACAGGACGGGTGTCCTTATAAAAAGGGGAGATTCGGTAGGGATACCCGCACAGGGAGAACACCGTGTGAACACGAAGGCAGAGATCAGGGTGAGAGGCGTCTCCACGGTGCAGGACGCCAAGATTGCCAGCAAACGTCCAGGAGCCCGGAGAGAGGCAGGGAACAGAGTCTCACAGGCCTCGGAGGGAGCCAGCCCTGCCCACACCTTGGTTTCAGACCAGCCTCCGAAACGGTGAGATAATAAATTTCTATTGCGTGAGTCACTAGGTGCATGGTAGGTCCTCACGGCAGCGCCAGGATATTCACACATCCTCAGAGGGAAGGGAGGCTGAGGATGGCCCTGAGGATAAACATCTTCCAGGCTCCACTGGTCGCTCATTGCAGGCGGTAACTTCTGCAGTGGCCACGTCTGTGCCTCTGGTAGCCACGGGCCGTTCCGAGTGGCTCACTTCAAACCACCCCTCCCCGAGGCAGGCCAGAGGACACGCCTGATGAGAGTCAGGATTCTCTCCGCTTGGAAAGAGCGGCCTGAGTTTTTACTAGCGCATCTGGGAGCATACGCCATGCAATGTGTTTACCAGCATCCGCGTGCACATGGAAAGCATCACAGAGGCGTGTATATATCTGCTCATTTCTAGTTACTGGTTAAATATCAATTACAGACTGAGGCCAGTTGTTGCACCAAATGAATCACGATAGCTAACATTTATGGATCGCTAGCCTGGGACTTTCCCGGTATTATCTCACTCAAACCCTCACAACCATTCCATGAGGGGACACAGTTACGATCTCCTTCTGACATGCGAGAGAACGGACTCCCAGGAATGTCAGGCAGTTGCCCCTTTGGGCAGGCTCTCCCTGGCGTAATGCAATGGTGACCGGCCACACTAGGCCTTCTGTCCTTAAAACTCTAAGTCCAGTAGAAAGCGGTCTTCTCTTCCCATTGCGTCTGGCAAAAAAAGTCCCACAGTAACTTCTGATCGTGTAGAATTTGAACACGTGCCTCCTGTTGAACCAGTCATGGTGGCTGGGGGTGGAATATGCTTATTGGCCATCTAGTGGGGAATGAGAAGGGGAAGGGCTTGATTCCCAAGGGAAACCAGGGCGCTGTAACCACAGGAGAACATGGACCCTGTCCACTGTGACAACTTGTGCTGTGGGAAAACCCACCATAGTGTTTCTCCGAAGGATCACTGATCCTGCTTCACTAAACCCAGGTCTGTGTGTTTTTAGATTAACCAGGAAATTGCTTTGGTGGAGGCCTGGCCTTCTGGGAACTCTCTCTCACTCCGTGTCCTCTCCCATTTCCATGGTCGGAAGCCGAGAGCACCAGTCTGTTTCTGAGGCTTTAAGGAACCGACCTTTGACGTTAAACCCTGGGCCTGAAAGTTCGCAACTGAAGCCTTAAAACTCCTTTCCTTGGCCTAACCCGGAATCTGTCAAGGGCTGGATTTGGCTCAAGGCTCTGTATCAGTTATCTACGGCCACAATCATGCTGCGTAACAAAGCAACCACCAACACCAATAACAGCAGCGACCACGGTAACATTTATCTGTGCTTATGAGACTGTGGGTTGGCTGGGTGGGTCTGCCCACTGGGGCTTCCTCAGGTGTTTGCGGTCACCTTCGGATCAGCTGTCATCATCTGGGTGGCTTTTCTGATCTTGGCTGGGCTTTCTTACTTACCTGCGGCCTGGGCTGGGACAGCTGGGCTGACTCGGCTCTGTGTGATCCTCCCGCAGGCTGGCCCAGCTGTACATGGAGACGGCAGAAGGGCAAGAGGGCAGAAATATGTCCAGTTGGTTACTGTCCCCTGGCCGAAGCAAGACACAGAGGCCAAGCTCAGACTCAGTGTGGGAGGGGGCTCCCCAAGGATGTGGGCAGGAGGAGGTAGGCAAAATTGGGTCATTAAATGCAATCAATCCTCTGTAGGCTCCGAATCGATCCTTTTAGTTTCCTGATGAGAGGGTGACCGGGAAGTGAGGATTGTGCCGCGGCGAGTCGGAAAACAGAATATTCTCAACTCCTAGTTCCCGACTCTGGCCTCATCCACACCCGATGACAGGAACACAAAACTCTGGGGGTCCCTGCCTTTGTTCTGTCTCCCAGCCATTGACTTGGTGAGCATTTCTTGACGGCTGGGGAGCTGGGAGACAACAATGACCCAGTAGGGCTGCCTCCTACAGGGACCAAATTGGAAGTCAGCGGTTACATCCTAGGTTCTTAAGTGCCTCGCAGAGATTTGGGGGCGAGGCACGTGGGCAGGGGTGTCTCTGGGCCCTTCAGACCAGGTGTTCTTCTTTTGTTCACTCCTGGCCTCCCCTTCCCCAGAAGCCTCGGTCCGTGGGAGCCCAGCTCCTCCTTCCAGATACTGTAGGTTGGTCCTAACGCTTTGCAGGGGACCAGTTACACATGTGACG